GGTTGGATTTGCCACTGAGACAATTCAGTTAGGAAAGGTGTGACAGCGTGTGCCTATAATGCCATCCTAACACAGGGGAGGCTGAGGCAGGAGAAACTCTGAGGTCAATGCCAGCCTGATCTACATAGCAAGACCCTGTCTCAAAAAAACAAAATAAACATCAAAGGCATTAAATATTATCCTAATTAGTACAAGTTAAGCTGAGTCAAGACAGGTCATAAATTTGAGATTTACAAGTTTTTACAGAGCCAGTTTTATGAGCCAAAGCATGAAAATCCCCATAAACCATGCCAGTACCTGCCCTTAATTTCAGAAGCAGGAAGATGTGACCCAATCAAATGATATCAAATCACAGTCCATCTGTTCAAAGAACGCTGCATTACGTAAGCTATGGTCAAAAGAGAGGGGCAAAGGCAGGCAGTTTGCTAACATCTGCAAATGCTGGAGCACTAAGGTTTGTGGAGCAGTGGTCTCACATCACAAGGACCACCACAGGATCACAGCATTTCAAAATTCAATTACACATGAACAAACCTGATACAGCACAAAGGTATTACATTACAGCAACATGTTGAGCCTAACATATTAACTCTGAATCAGACCTAGAACCTTCCAGCAGAGGTTGCCTTCCTCGCTGGAACAAGATTTACCTCCCTTTTAATTATTTTGATCATGTCATCTCTGCCACACCCCTTTAATTTCATTCTGAGTATTTTTGTTTGTTTGTTTGTTTGTTTGTTTGTTTTGGTGATACCAGGGATCAAACTCAGGACCTGGTGCCTGCCAGGCAGGTGCTTAAGCCACTGAGCTACATCCCTGGCCCTCACACCTCTTTAATGTCAAAAGCAAAGTGGATAATCTAAAATTCTAAACCTGACCAAAGTCTGTCAATTACACTCTAATTCAATCAGACTGTATTTACCAAAGGCCATTTTCCAAATTACTATGTGCCCACTTTTCTTAATAAGTAAGCACTACCCAAGTCCTCTTATCACCAATAGAAAGGACACTTCTTTTTTTTCTTGAGGGCTTTTAACCTACAATCATTCTCCCTCCCCCCCCCCCCACAGAGCTCATTTTTCATAAATTCTGTGAATGTGAAAGTCAAAATCAACTTCATTTAGGGTCCTCAACTCTTTAATCCTGCTCTTCCCTCATCTTCAACTCTTTTACATCTCTCAGTGTTGTACACAGCAAAACATTTGGAATTAGAAAAAAAGTTTCTATCTCAACTTTGCGTTTATTCTACCCCAAAGAATTGGCCTAATCCGAGTTTCCTTTCTTTTTTTTCAAGTCAGGGTCTCACTACATACTTTAGGCTGCTTTGAACTCCAGGGGATCCCCCTGCCTCAGCCTCCCCCTGCTCAGATTACAAGTATGCACCTGCATGCATTTTCCTATATACACACTGAAGTGATAACACGCCTATGCTTGGTGGCATCACATTATGTTAATCTCTGTCACTCAACACACTTAAGTTACCTTTCTGCTTTTTGTTTCTAGCCATATAGAGACTTTTTAAGACTGGGGAAAAATTACGGAGGTTAATTCTGTACATCCAAACTCCAGGATAAAACAAGAAATCTAACTCTAAACAGTAAATTGTGAATCAGTCAATAAAAGCTTTATTTCTTGCCCTGAAGTAGGCCCAGGGACAGTAGGTGTCACAATGTAAACAATTATAGTACTCATTCAATCCTCCTCCCAGTCTGAATTTAGCAATCTTTTAAAATCAGTCAAGTTTGAAAGTACTCAACAAGTCACCTCTAGTCACTTCAGCCCACAATATTTCCCTCTTTGAATAACAATGGCTTCTCTACAGGGTGGTATTAAAAAAATTTAACAACTAAAAGGAATTTAACAGGCCCTACAAGGGAACTGACCAATCAAAAAAGATATTTAAGGAATCAAAAAACAAGCAGCCCAATGGGAACTGCTAAGTGAACACCAACTCACTTAACACTAACAATACAAATTGCAACCTCAAATTGAAATACAGTTTCTCATTTGATTGTCACAACCTCATCAATTAAGCAAAGTAGGTATCACCTGAATTAGAGCTAGGGGTGACTTTGAGGCTGATGACAAAATCAAATAACTACTTCTTTCATAAAGCAACAAAATTTTTCCTGATCATATAGAGAATTATAAAGTACCATACCTGCTTAGTGAAACACAATTAATTTAATCAACAAGCACTCATATACAACAGGATTAAAATACAGTGTTAGGATCTAAAGTCATACAGAAAATACATCACTCTTGCCTTCCGGGTACCTCAAATATACCAAAACTACTTTTAAGCAACAGTTCAAGCTGGTAGAAGCGAACAACACACACTAAGTACTATAGAGCTCAAAGGAGGAAGAGTTCAAAGAGAACTAAACCAATACAGGAAGTCAGGAAAAAACAAAACAAAACTACTCTCCTCAAGCTCCCACAAAAGGCACAAAATTATTCAGTGAAAAGGCTGAACAGTGAAGACACAGTGGGAAAACAGAAGTGAGATTACAGTAGTGAGAAATGAGACCTGTGTTTGGATACTCTGAGATGGCCCTAATCATAAGCTTCCAGTGTTGCTTTAGGCCAGTGATGGCGAACCTGTTAGAGACTGAGCGCTCAAAATGCAACCCAAAACCCAATTATTTATCACAAATTGCCACCACCACAATTCAACTTCAGGACCAAGGTTTCAATTTAGAAAAACAACTGTTATCCAATGCTTGGCCGCTGGGGGAACTTGGCTTGTGTGCCAACAGAGGGCTCTGTGTGCCTGCTGCGTGCCACAGGTTTTCCACCACTGCTCTAGTCACTAAACTTTGTAAACCTTTACAAGGATGGCCCACGAATATTTGCCAGCGGCTCTTGGAAAACGCAGATGAGAAACATTGGAAAGCAACTAAATTTGGAAGGTAACAGGCAAGACTAAGATGATGGCTGCAAGTCAAAAAAGAAGATAAATTTTAGTTTTCAAAGAAAAAAGTATGACAACACAAAAAAGTAGGTTTTAAAAAAAGGATTTTCACTGGGATATATATGCAGACATAATAGTACTAACTGCATAGCAGGGACAAGGAGACTAACCTTCCCAGAGAAATCTATGTTGGAGAGAGAAGATAGGCAGAAGACAAAAAACAAAAACTGATACACAGTAATGAACACTGAAAGCCTTAAAAGGGCAAGAGGATTTTCTTCAGAATGTATGAAAAGATGGGCTGAAGCATCAATGTAACCAACCAGGTGAGGCAAGCAAGATGATATAAATTGGCTTAAATACAAGCATCCACACCAGCTTTGTAAACTACTCCAGGGCATAGACTTTGCACTGTGCGAACATCCAATTAAGCCTGCTACTGTTAGTTAAATACATGAACACTTCTTGCCCTACCCAAAGTGGGACAGAGAGACAAACTAAATTTATTCAAGTAGAGTGTAAATATGTTTGATGTATACTGATTCTCCCACTTGCCCAGTTATCTTGGCTCCTTCCTTAATCCACCAAAAAAAAAAAAAAAAAAAATTGATTGTGCTACTTACCTTGAGCTCAGTGTTCCTATTACAGGCCTCTGTAAAAGGACTCAGAAATGTGCAAGAAATCAGATAAGCCAATTTGATATTCAAATTGTGGGAGCAAAATCTAAAAGTGAATAATAAATATCAGTTGCTCATGCGACAACTAAAAAAGAAAACTAGGCTTATGTATATCGCACAAGTGTGTAGATTTAGGAAACGGTTTTAAATGTAAATTCTAACTTCAGCATTTAGTAACTGACCTCTCCTGCACTTGCTTTCACACCTAAAAAATAGAGCAAATGCCATCAGCCCTGAGGGTTTAGTTGCGAGGATTAGATAATGTACTTTGGCATTTTATGCATTTACATTATTATAGTGAGCTCTTAATAAAGAGCACCATTTAGGATTACTAATAATTGGCATCTCCAGTCCTGAGGGCTTTTAAAATTCGCTATCAAATTTCAGAAACAGCAGCAGGCTTTCGCGGCATTTCGGTTGCTAGTGCTGAGGCTCTATATTTTAGTTTCTCGCCTTTTAGGTTGAATGCTAACAAAGTTTTTTACTGATCCCTCATCGGAGCAGACGACCCTCATTTTATCACAACTTAATATTTTTGCAAAACGGTGCACTGTCCCTTGAAAACCAGCCACACAGACGTCTCATTCTAAACTACTGTCACCCGAGAAGAAACACCACGAGCAACATTCCTTCGAGGAAATAAAAGCATCTGATCAATTCACAGGATCGTTCCCATTCAAACATTTCAAACCCCGCAGAGGGAGCAAACCTTCAAGTTTCTACTACAAAAACAATCCGTAGCCTTCTGGTTGCTGGACTCACTTCAACACTTCGAGACTCAAGAAAGGAAAAACATTCCGCGCATCTTCATGCCTCTTTCTCACACAAAGCTTCGCAGCTCCCCTTTCCAAAGCCCGCCCGGCTACACAAGCAGCCTCTTCAGCAGGTTGGACCCGCTGGCGACAAAGCCCAGGGCAGCACTGCAGACCCGGGGTCCCGCCACCGTGAGCCCCCTCCCACCTCTTCTGGAACCCCCCAGGGCTCAGAGCCCACATCCGGCCGGGGAAGCCGCCACCGACTCCAACCCCGCCCGGGACCCAGCAGCCCCAGGCCCGGCCCGCCTGGAGCGAGGACGCAAGGCCAGTGCCCGCCGGCCTCACACCTCGTCCCTCGCCCGCTCACGCCCCCGAAGGCAGCCCGACCTCCGACGGCTCAGGCTGGCGCCGCCCCCAAGGAGCCCAGAACGGGGCCGCCCGGCGCCTCCACGCGCTCTCTGACCCACGCCCCCGCCCGCCTCTGCTCCCGGCCAGCGGCTCGAGTAGCGCCCGCCGAGCCGTGAAAGCCCGGCCCGGGCCCTGGCGCCGCCACCTGCGCCCCCGGCCCCGCGCCATGTTTGAGAAAGAGCAGGAGCGAGCCAGAGGCCGGGCCCGGCCAGCGCGCCCCGCCGCCGGGAGCCCGTCACGGCTTACCCTTCGCCCCCGGGAGCAGCGTCGCCGCCGCCGCCGCCGCCAGCAAAAGGAGAAGCAGCTGGTGACGCGGAGCCGCAGCCGCCGCCTCCATGGTCCCGCCGCCACCTCCTGTGGCCCGGCCCGGCCCGGCCGCCGCTTCGCCTCAGCAAGCCTAGCCTCGCCCCACCTCCCCACCGCAGCGGTGGCCTCGCTCCGGCCCTTTGTAACTGCTCCGGGGGCGCGCTCCCATTGGCTGCCGGGCTCCCGCCGGCCCCGCCTCCCGCCGGCCTCCGGCGCCCCAGCGGGACCCAGCCAGGAGCCCCGCCCGCCGGCCCGCCAGGCAGCCAATGCGGAGCCGCCGGCGCCGGGCTCTGGCCACGCCCTCGCACCCCGGGGGTCGGGCCTCCGGACCGCTGGTCGCGCTGGAGCTGGGCTCCAGCGTGGGGGCAGGGTCTGGGCGGCCGTGTGACCGTCTGTGAATTGCTTTGAAAAAAAACTGCTACGGCTCCACGGTCCTTTTATTCCGCCTCCAACCCCACCCCGACTCCCCTTTCACAGCCCCGAGCTCCCCACGCCACCCAAATCCCCAGTACTGCAGGCCCCTACATCTAGCCCAACTTTCTCCAGACCCACGCCTCAACTTTCAGCATCTCCCCTCCCAAGACCCTCCTTCAGTGCCTTTCACATGTGTTTCTTCCACCTCTCACACCAGCCTAATACCCCTCGTCAAGCTCCTGACCCCAAAGTCATCAGATCCAATCCTAAAACTCCAGATCCAGAGCTCTCAAACGCACACCCACTTCAGAAGCCTCGGGTCTCTCCAAAACGTAGCCTGCCCGCTTAGGACCCAAGCCACTCCCTTCCCTTTTCACTTTCTTGCTCCAGGTTAGAATCCAACTTCTCGCCCCACCCCGCAAAGAAGGTGGATTCCCTACTTAGCCCGGCTTCTTTGGGCGGAGGGAGAGCAGTCATCTTTACTTTTGAGTTGTTGCTGACACGACTGTGTAACAGTTCTGAGGTGTCACTAAAAACCCAAATAAACTCAACTACGTTTTCATTCTGAATTCCTAACTTGCTGTGAGACGCTCCACCCACCTTCCCTGCGAGATGCCAAAATGAGCTCCAGATTTTAATTCTTCCTATCAGACTAGCCTGGCTTCAAACACAAACACAGCCTAGGAGGCTGCTGCATAGCACGGAGAAGGTTTTTCAGCAGAACCATTTAAGGAAAAAAAAAATTATTTTCTGCGTGATTTGAACTCGGAATTAAATAAAGCTTGGTAACTGGAATCAACCAGCGCTTGTAATAAATTAGAACTCCGTGCTGAGTGTTCCACTCACGGCAAAGAGTTCCTTTAGTGAGCCGTAAGGAGGAAGGTGAGGGACAGGAGGCGCCCTGCTGTTTCCCTCGTAGCTCCGAAGCTGTTCCCGATCCAGCAAGCAGTTAACTTTTCTGCGTTTGCAGCCGACTCAGAGAGTATAGCCTGCAGGGCCAGCAAGGAGCTCTTTGCCTCGGGCTCACCAAGGAGACTGTCTCTTTGTTGCTCAATTCTCAGTGTTTCGCATAAAAGAAGAGCTCAGGAGACTTATTGTGTGAATGAACGAGTGTTTTTCTCTGCCCATCTCTAAAATACAAATAATAAGAGTATCTATCCGTATTTATACATAAAACGGATTGAGCCACGTGTGTTCAGCCCCTTAAATGATGTAATGTTTCTGGAACAATGCCTGGGACATAGTAAATATTTGGTTCATGCCGTTTCCTTTGCCCATCCCCTTCCAGTTCTGTATGACTCTAATCAGCCTTTGTGCTCATTTTCATCTAGGCCTTTGTCTTGATGTGCTGAAGTTAGTCAGTGTGCAGGTCTGCTCTATAATATGCCTCCAGGTCCTCAACATTTTCCATAGAATTGCGGTGTTCAGTAGCAAAGTGAGGAACAGGAACAAGAAACACTGCTTTTCAGTTTTATCTTCCTGATATTAGGAGGAAATTTCCATGAGCCACAGATCCATAAATAAACTGTGGCAAAGCAGAACAATAAATTGTAAGTTTAAATGCATGGCTCTAGGGCTTTAAAGTGTCTCCAAGTCATCTGCAGACCTTTGACTACTGCAAACTCCCCGATCCAGCCCTAGGAAGCCTGCTTCAGCCACTCCAGAGGTAGTCAGTCAGGGCAGGACTCTGCATCTGTAATTACTTGGGTCAGTCTGCTGCCTGTGGCACCAGGCCCACTTCAAAAGACACTGGCTTACTTAAAAGTCAGCAAGTAGTAATGAATAAGCCTATTTGCCTTTTGAGAATGGTTGTGCATGGAGGGGTGGCTCTGGCTTGGGAAGGCTGCACGCTCCAGTTGGAATTCTGGCTCTGCTACTGACTGCAGATCTGCGAACACTGCTTGATCTTTCTGAGATTTAGCATACCCCAGAGAGAAGTGGGATAATGACACCTACTCATGTGTTTGTTGTGAAGTCTAAATGAGCTATAGCACATAAGGAATCTATAATAAATGCTCATTCCCTTCACAATCTCTATGGGTTCTCAAAAAGGCTTATGAGTTATCCATTCCAATGTCCTGATTTAAAGGGGAAGAGACTGAGACTTGTTCCCAGAAAATCAGCTGTAGCTCTATGATTAGGAGGCTCATTCCAGCACCTTAGCCCCTGCACAATGCTACCTCTCAGTCTTCATGCTAAGTATGTTCTTGCTTTTCCTTTTGGATTATTTCCTTAAGTAAAATGCTCTCTCACTTTACTTCTGCCTAGAACACAGTTGCAATACTGGGAATTGCAGCAGCCCTTTGGAAACATAAAGGTGACATCCAAAACTAGGGATAGCAAGAGAAAAATGAAGAGAATCTAAGCCTTGATAAATTCATTGAGCACCTGCACCAGCTCAAAAATGCTTAGTTATTTCTTATTATATGAGCAAAATAAATCTCTTCTTTTTTAAACTCTAACACTTTACTTCCAGTCATAAGACAATTCTATTATTACACATTTTATTTTTGTTTTATTTTCAAACCTACACAATATTATTGATTTATGTCATTATATTAGCTTTTGCTCATTTTGGAATTGCTAACTGAATAACAAGCCAATTCAAACTTTAGTAGCTAGTTGGGTGTGATGGTACATTCCTATAATCTCAGTACTCTGGGACACTGAGGCAGAAGCATCACAAATTCAAACCCACCATGGAGCCAGGCATGGTAATGCATGCCTATTATCTCAGCATTTGGGAGGCGGAGCCAGAACGATGACCACTAACTCATGACCAGCATGGGCTGCAATAGCACTACCCTGTCTCAAAAACAAACAAATCAGACAAATTAACAATTTAGTGTGACTCTTCCGCAAAATCAAAAAGAGCTGCTGATATATGTAGTTCAGTATGAAGATCCTGGGTTCAGTTCCCTGGAGAGAGAGAGAGAGAGAGAGAGAGAGAGAGAGAGAGAGAGAGAGAGAGAGAAACTTAATGGTCTTGAATGATATCCATGCATTACTTTTTATGAAACTATGGGTGAGCTGAACAGTTTTCTTGGGCTAGGTCAATTTAAGCTGATCTCAGCTGAGCTCTCCCTTAAGTTTGCTATTAGGTGGCAAGTCATCTAGGGCTGAACAGGTCTGAAATGGCCCAGATCCACTCATCCAAGAGGTATTCATACTCTAGTAGGCTGCCTAGGCTTGTTAACATGATGGTCCAGAGGTCCCAGAGAGTAACAGAAAGGGTACAGGACTTCATTCTAGCTTTAAAATAATTATATCATTAAGTTCCTTTCTTTCATAGACCCCTGGGTTATGAATGAATTAAACTGAGTGAGATTAATGCATATATATATATATATATATATATATATATATATTTGTTGTTGTTGTTTGCTTGCTTGCTTTCTCACTTGCTTTTATCCAGGGTTTCTGGCTCCTTTTTCCCTTCAAAGTAGGTCATAGAAGCTAGAATTTCTTTTTTTCAGGACTAGGCATGGAAAGTCATCATCCCAACCTTTCTGTCTTGGAGCAGCTCTCCATAAAGAAACCCTGACCTTCCTTGCCTGACAGCAGGTCAAAAGGGCCTACATTTGAGGAGAGGTCTTGCCTCAGACCCTCAAAAATAAATGATGCCAGATCTGGACAGACTTTGATGAGTGTCCCCACTCAATCTGTTAACATTAGGGTGTGCCCCTTTGTCCAATCACATTTCTACATAGTTGTCCACAATTCAACCACACCCATTCCGTGAAGAGTCATGGAAAGCCAAAATGACATGTAGTAGTTGTTGGGGGAAGGTGCCCCGGAGTGGGCATGCAAATTCCGTGCCACTGCCCTCAGACCTCAATGTCCTATGGGTCTCCACATCTGCACCCTTCTAGTATTATTTATAATAATGCAGTGAATGTAAATATTTGCCTCAGTTGTGTGAGTTGCTCTAGAAAATTAGTCAAACCCAAGGAAGGGTCAGGAGAACCTGGATTTATAGCTGGTTGGTCAGAAGCACAGGTTAAAACAACCTGGGACATGCAACCAGCACTGGATGAGATAGAGGGCAATCTGGGGGACTGAATCCTCTCCGCCTGTGGGATCTGACTCCATCTGCTAGCAGGTAATTGAAGAATTGAGTTAAAGGTGCAGAACTGAAGAGTTGCTTGGTGTGAGAGAAACCCCACGCCCCAGTGCCTCTAGTGCCGGAAGTGATTGATGTTTTAAGAGTGTAGTAGAAACTAAAGTGATGTTGACTTTTTTTTTTAACTCAATAGGGAAATCAATTTCATGTTTTTAATAAAAGGAGCCGCAAAATCACATTGTAAAGAGGCACAAATATCAAGAGAGGAGTACACATGTCCACTTTTCAAACACTTTTTATGATCTTTTCCTAATCTTTCTTTTTACCTCTCAGCCTTTTATCACCATTCATTTTTATCCTGTGAAGTATATCTTTTCAAATTCTCTTTTGTGAGCATCAATGAGTAGCAGTCTTAGTTTTTTGTTTGACAGAAAATGCTTTTATTTAGTCTTTATTTTTGAATAATCTTTTCACCAGGCATAGAATGAAGGTTGATAATTGTTTTCTTTCAACAGTTGATACCATTTCACTGTCTCTACCTTCCATTGTTGTTAATGTGAAATCAAATAACAATCTAATGGTTTCTCCTTTTTTAACACAATCTGTCTTTGCTTTCTTTTTTTTAATACATATAATAGACTTAATTTTT